ATCCAGAGAGCTTTCAATGCTCGTACTGTGTACTAGGTCATATCGGCAGGTAATCCTGTTGGAATTTTGATGCATCTTGTAGAATGGGGGAATAAAACACACTTCCTAGTAATGGAACATAGTACAGAAACCACTTGGGATAGGAAAAGGCCCACCTCTTGACTACTCTGCTGAAATTTGATGGCATAATTGCCAAAAATAAAGATATCTACTCCTCCTCCTCACTGAGTTTTTAGTAAGAAATTAAGGGCAGCCTTCAGGCACTAGAAGACTGCCCACCTCTGCTTTAATGGGATGAAGTTCAATGGGCTATTGCAGGGGCAACTGCAGAAAGGCCTTAAAGAACGCTCAAAAATCAAGATCAACATTTTGTATGGAAACAAACTAGGAGATAGTGAAAGTGGTTTCAAAACAGGTCATGTATGTTAACAATTCATATCTGCTAGTAGATGTGTAGATCTAGGTGACATTTCCAATTTATCTCCCAAGGCACAATCTCTCCATGTACCTTAGTTGAGCTGGGCTTATCTCTCCAAAGATATCTTCACAGATATTATCCCATGTCATTTCCTGATCCATCTTTCTCCTCCTCTTCTTTTTTATCTGCAGTCTCTAGGATGTTTTTCTTAAAGGGATAAAGAAGCATGGAACGAGAGCCATTGTGGAACTAAGCCGAGGAATAGAAGGCAAGAATCTGGGGATAGGCCCCAGTTCTTGCTTAATGCTTGAGGACTTTTTTGTGGGACAGAGAAGCCGCCGATAAGACAACGGCATCCTCTCAGCCAGTTTTTCTGAGCAGACACCCACTGCCCTGTCCCCCATTCCTTATCATTAATCCACTGGCCATGGACAAACTACACTTAGCAGTGCAATGGCAGTGCTTCGTTCTCATTTAAATCAAAGTTGTATTTTCTTGTGATGAAAACTAAGCTCCAAAACGGTTTCTCTCACATGCTCTGGAGGAGAGCGTTTTCCTGCCTCTTTCTCCTTGGTTTCATGTTAGTCCTGCCAAACACAAAGGCTCCTGAGCTTCCACCTGACCTGGTCACCACTTGGTGAGAAGAAGACAGGCCAGCCTCTCTTCTTCTTCTTCTGGTATTAAAAATACAAGATCTTCATGTCCATTTTAGTCCAGCTTCTTTTTTGTAGCATGCTACCTTGTTTGTTGTATGCAGTAGTCTTACTCAGATCTCTCTCTTAAGACCAGGAAGTGCGCAAAGTGTCTGTATGTGTGGGGAGGGGGATTACATTTCTTCCCTTTTTCTGGTAATATGTGATGATCCCTAAGAAATAAATGATGTAAAAAAAGGGTATCTATTTATTTTGTACTATTTTCTGAGTAGCCGAAAAGTTCACTTTTTCCTTTTAACCATTAAAAATACAGTTTTGTAACAGTGAAAGCTAAAATAAAATTAAAAAAAAAAAACATCCAAGGAGCACATGCTGCTCCCTTGCTCCAGTTTTTAGCAAGATTCAGTGGTAAAGGAAAGCAAACAGAAAGGGCATTTGGAGCAATACAGACCTGCAAAGAGTGCCTGAGATTGGGAAAGTGCCTCCATATGAGAGATTTACCTTGGTATATGATGTGAGAGGTTCACTTTGATATAGTCCTGGGTGCTCTCTGAGCTCGGTTGTTTGCCTGCAGAAGTTTCATTACCTGACGAGGTAACATCAGTGCGAGTGAGTGTGGGGTTTGCTCCCTGTCTATATACAATAGCTTGCCCTGCCAGTTTTGGTTCCTTGATCAGGGTATTGTTTTCTGCTTGATTTTTTTCCTGGTGTTAATCCCTGTTTATCTGGGTGTGGGCTGCTGGAGAGG